TCATCCCTTTGATTTTGCCATTTTGCATGGTCAAGACGCCGACGAGAAATAATTAGCCATCAAGAAATCTTGAATCGCCTTTGGGCTTTCGATATAGAAAATGATCTGGGACGAGAAAAAAGAGTAACATTTGATGCATAATATTCATTATCTATTTATAATCTGAATCAGCAACAGTTATGGCAGATTCATCGTGACTGTTTTTCTTTTTTTAAACTTAGCGAGCTGCTGCAAGCTTCATAATGAAGATTATAGTCATTTTATTCTAAATCATTGTTTTGTAAAAATAATTAATGATAAATTATTCATGATTTGCCTATGATATGGATGCTAAATAGATGTACGTCCACAGTTTCCCGATCAATTATTAATACCTATTATCAAAATTAATAAAGTAATGTAGCAAAATTTGAATGAGACTTTATGTCATGACAATGTGAGTTCTTTTGAGCGTGAAATAAAATACTCATTAATAATTCATAAACCTTGTGGCAAATCATGTCAGCCATAATATGTCACGTGGAGTGACTTTATATCTGATAAAGCATGTGGCATTATATAATTGAGCATCCTAATTAGTATGATTATATAATGGTTCATCCTAATTAGTATTCTTTTGTCGTCGTATTTTAAGCTATTCAAAACACTCGTTGTTGTGTTTTATCAGACACGATATATATAATTTAAAACACGAGTAGGAGTGTTCTATCAGATATAAAACGCGAGACCACTGAGGTCAGCAACACTGTTTTCTATTGTCGAATAGTCCCAAATAATTTCGCACATGGTTATCTCAATCCTCACGTAGGCGAATCGCCATGTGCATGCTAGACAATTCAATGCAGCCTAATAAAGTCAAATGAAACACTGTATAACGTTCTTGCTAATGCGTGGCTTATGGTAAACCGTGCCGTTGCAGTCGATGTGAGAAATTTGTTCTGAAGCTTGAAAGATTATATGACAATTATTTTGAAATTTTTGAACGTTGTGAGCTGAATATTTAATTATATTGGCATTAATCAAGGTAAATGGTAAAAAGTTGATGCACATGCATGCCTGCATGCACTGCAAAATTTTACTCAATTTCCTGAGCAGAGAATGATTAACTTTACTTAAAGAAATAAGTAAATTGGCTCATAAATTTGAATGCTCACGCTAACCAATGTACACAATTATATATATATATATATATATATATATATATATATATATATAAACGGGTTGTTTTTCGTTGAAAGACTAAAAAGAGTGCTCAATACTACTGATAAACAGTACAGTAGAGCTATGTAATTAACGTTACAAATATCTTAAAATAACATGTTTTTTTCGCTACTCTGAGTTTCACGATCTTGTCTGATCGATCTTCAGGCGATTTAATAATATAATATATATACGTTAATTATATATATATATATATATATATATATATATATATATATATATATATATATATATATATATATATATATATATATATATATATATATATATGTTATTTGAGAACTATTTCATTATTTGTAAACCGGACATTGCAACACTTAATCGTCGCAACGAACTTGCCTCCACGTGTAGATACGCTAATAAATTTCTACTTAAAAACTTTATAACTTGATACTAATATTTTCGTGACACTACTTGAGGTGTTAATTGATTTGTAATTAGATAAGCGTCCTTTATACCATCTGTACATATTTAAAAAGTTCGTTAAGAAGCTATAGGTCAAACATAGGCTATTTTATCTGAAGAGTGCCACGTTATTTACGTGGTACGAAACTGTATAGTAATAAATATGCCAAACAAAGCTTGCTAAGTTTTTGTGTCTTTCTATTATGCTCTGGTTATCCATTGAGCACTCTATCATTGGTTTTTATAACCCTACACAAACTATTTTATATATATATATATATATATATATATATATATATATATATATATATATATATATATATATATATATATATATATATATGTTAAAATTGTAACCAGGATTAGACATATTATTAGGATGTAGAAACGTTGACGCTGGTTTGATAAAAACGTTAAAAACTACGTTTATTTAAAAAGATGTTAAGACGTTTCGACCAGTAACTTAGGTCTTCGTCAGTTAAAAAGTTAACTAGGTTCAAAACAGAACAATATATATAGGTTCAGAGTTAATTAGCAGATAAGTGTTTTATACACATCCGGTATTTCGATATGGTCGTTTCCTGCGTTATGATCCTTGAGGGAATACCAAGCCTCTATAAGAACAGACGTTCGCGGTAGTTTTTTGTGGTAGGGTGGCATTACTGAAGTCAATTCGGTGATCGTATTGTTCAGCATGCTTAGCGATTTTTGAATATTGATCAAATTGCGAAACAGCTCGTTCGTGTTCTTTTATTCTAGTTTTTAATGCTCTGTCTGTTTGGCCGTAATATGCAAACTGGTCACAATCGCAGCAACAGATTTTGTAAATGACTCCGCTTGTCTGCTCCGGTGGTAATTTGTTTTTGGGTTTGAGGAATTGGTGGGAAAGGGTACTGGTAGGTTTGTAGCACACTTTGATATTTTCTCTCCTTAATACTCGGGAGATCTTTTCTGTAACGCCTTTAACATACGGTAAGACTACAAAGCTAGGAGCGACACAATCAGCGGGGTTTGTCCTGTTGTTGAGTTAACATCAGTGGTATGCAAATTACCGTTGGTGTTATCAGTATGACGGCGTTTTCTCTTGATGTCGTAAGACTTGATAAACTTAAGTGGGTAACCGTTGTCTCTCAAGACTTTAAATACATGTCTTCTTTCTCTGCGTTTTCCTCTGTTGGACGAGGGAATTTTCTCAGCTCTGTCGAGGAGAGTATTTAGGACCGACAGCTTGTGTTGTTTGGGATGGTGTGAGTCGTAGTGCAGGTATTTGTCTGTGTGAGTAGGTTTTCTGTATATATCGACTTCTACTTTGCCGTTAGAGCGGATAGTCACGGAATCCAGGAATGGGAGGCGTCGGTTTTCTTCCAGTTCGATGGTGAATTATAAGTATAAGTTAATGGAATTGAGGTGGTTGTGAAATTCGTTCAGCTGCATGGGTTTTCTTCAGACAGGAATGGCTATCGTTGACATATCTGAACCACCATCGCGGGGGATGTGGTGCTGTAGAAATTGCAGTTTCTTCCACATGTTCCATAACTATGTTAGCAATTGTAGCGCTAATGGGTGACTCCATATAGCACAACCTGAGATCTGTTGGTAATATTCCGCATTCTTATATGTGAAGAAACTGTTCTGAAGGACTAACTCTAATAATTTTGTGATGTTAGTAATGGATATGTCTGTTCTAGTCAACGATATGTCTTGTTGTAACCTCTGTTTGATCACCTGTAGGGCTAGTTTGGTGGAAATAGATGCGGACAAGGATACAACATCGAATGATACCATGACTTCATCGTCTGCAATTTGTCGATGTCTATAATTTGTTGAGAAAAGGCAAAACTGTTCCTAACTGTATATTCCCCCTGACGAGTGGGGATAATATTTTGACCAAGTGTTTCGAGAGGTTGTATGATGGGAAATTAATGCAACTTGTAATGAGGCGAAGTGGTACCGCAGGTTTGTGGATTTTAGGTAGCCCGTAGAATATTGCTGGTGTGCCATCAGTGGAGTGGAGTGGAGTGGAGTGGAGTGGAGATGGAGGTAAAGGTGTTTATGTATTTGAGATTTATCAGGATCGTGTTCTGAGGGTGTCTCCTTTATGTTGGAGAGTAGCTTGATCAGATCTTTTTCTACTTTGGAAACTGGTTTTCTTCGTCTATCTGTGATTTTTAAGTACGCTTCTTTATCACTCAATAACTCGATGATTTTAGTGGTGCAGTCGTCGTTATCCATGACGACGATGGCTTTTCCCTTTATCAGCAGGGATAATTGTAATGCTATTATCCTCGCGCAGGTTTTTCAAAGCGAGCTTTTGTTGGCGTGAAAGGTTGCAAGTTGTTGGTGGTTTGCTGTATTTCAGGATGTTTGTGACAGTAGCGCGTATGGATTCTTTGTTACTTTCAGGGAGGTTTCGAATTCCTGATTCTATACTTGCTACGATCTTTGGTACGTACAGGGATTGCTTTCGGTGCAGGTGCAAAATTGAAACCATATCGTAGGACTCTTGTCTCGGCATGCAGGCGTTAGTTGATGGCCGGATAGGTTAATTCCTTGTCAATGTAATCGCTACTGTTTGTGGCGCCTAACTTAGCGAGTTTATGGACGTGTCTGGTCTGAAAAGTTTCCTTAACTCGTTGTGTTTTACGGCATTGTCTAACATATCCCAAACCCCAGACACGTCCATAAACTCGCTAAGTTAGGCGCCACAAACAGTAGCGATTACATTGACAAGGACAGATGGGTGATAAATTCAAATTCTTGTGGCAAAATTGATAAAAGCTTTTGCTTGCATTCCAGACGAATATGCTCTAATTGTTTGATGCGTTGGTGTCCATGATTTATACGTAATCTCACGAAACCCCAACCGGCCTTAGCGGCGATCTTACGGCCTTCATAGCAGTTGACGGGAGGATTGAAACGGAGGCTCGGCGGTAATATCTTTGCCCTTTAAGTTCATGGTTGAACGGTTGAACCTAGTTAACTTTTTAACTGACGAAGTCCTAAGTTACTGGTCGAAACGTCTTAACATCTTTTTAAATAAACGTAGTTTTTAACGTTTTTATCAAACCAGCGTCAACCTTTCTACATCTTAATAATATGTCTAATCCTGGTTACAATTTTAACATTTTTAATCTTATTAATACTCGTTATGGTTCAGAAGTTATGAAATTAGCCAGAAATTTGGAAAAGAAATCCATCAACATTACAAAGCAAAAACAACACCTTACGTTCAACCATGAACTTAAAAGAGCAAAGATATTACCGCCGAGCCTCCGTTTCAATCCTCCCATCAACTGCTATGAAGGCCGTAAGATCGCCGCTAAGGCCGGTTGGGGTTTCGTGAGATTACGTATAAATCATGGACACCAACGCATCAAACAATTAGAGCATATTCGTCTGGAATGCAAGCAAAAGCTTTTATCAATTTTGCCACAAGAACATTGGGATATGTTAGACAATGTCGTAAAACACAACGCTGAGAGAGTTAAGGAAACAGTTCAGACCAGACACGTCCATAAACTCGCTAAGTTAGACGCCACAAACAGTAGCGATTACATTGACAAGGACAGATGGGTGATTAACCTATCCGGCCATCAACTAACACCTGCCGAGACAAGAGTCCTACGATATGGTTTCAATTTTGCACCAGCACCGAAAGCAATCCCTGTACCAAAGATCGTAGCAAGTATAGAATCAGGAATTCGAGACCTCCCTGAAAGTGACAAAGAATCCATACGCGCTACTGTCACAAACATCCTGAAATACAGCAAACCACCAACAACTTGCAACCTTTCACGCCAACAAAAGCTCGCTTTGAAAAACCTGCGCGAGGATAATAGCATTACAACTAGTTTACCCACAGGGTAGTGAATGCTGCCTTGGTATAGCATTGTTCCCAAATCCGTAGTTTAAATGAGATTTTTTGTATGTTACGTAACACGCGCTCAAAACTAATGCGTATAATATACCACATGAGATTATGACTAAAATCAAAATTTTTATTTTTCGATACGTTTCTCAATCGGTAAAAAAACCCTTAAAAAGTATGTTTAGTGCTTTATCTGTAAAATAATGCTAAAATGAAGAGATTTTAGATGATGCGCCAAAGAGACAATGATGTTTGAAGTTCAGTACGTTTTGCTTAAATGGCTGTAAATATAGCGTCAATTTTAAGGCATCATTGATAATTGTATTTTAATTGGCAATTTTAAACTATTATTTTATGTTTCTCAACCGGCAGACGCATTTAAAAAGGTAGCTAACTCTATACATTGTAGAGAATAAAGCTAAAACAAAGTAATTTTGAGAGAAACGCCAAAAAGATTTTAGGTTTTGAACACTTTTCATTGCAAATACGTGACATTGCCTCTCAATATTTTAAAGAAGAAGAGTAAGAAATATTCGTAATGAATTGAAATCATCCATAATTAATTTATACACTTGAATGTGCCGTTTGATAACTCGCCGCTCGAAGTTTCGTATCGAAAGAGGAACAGCCGAACAGGTACGATGGCTAGATAGATAGATAGATAGATAGATAGATAGTTTAATACATTTTACATGGCAGCCGAATTGGCTGAATTGCGTAAAGATCAAATCAATTGGCTAACAAGAATGAGTGTACTTATCAATAGGCTGTTGCGGTATATCGATATACCGATAATTATCTTTTTTTATAAACTCCGATTACTCGATATTGAAATTTTCGATATATCGGAATATCGATATTTTTCAGTATTATGGATATCACGTTTAGGGAAAGTACATTTATTACACCGAGGGAGGGGGATGAAGATGTCTTGAAAAAAGCTCATATTTTTAGAGGGCCCCTGTTGAGGTTATCGGTAAATTTCGATGCCCCCCCTCGAAGTTTTTAAAATTTTCAATGCCCCCCCCC